GACCTGGCGTTCTCTCGCTGCTTGCATATGGTTTGGCTTCCTTCTTCACTCTTTCCCTTGAGTCTTGGATTTCTAATAATTTAAACACCTATTCCTTTTGTAATGAGTTCAATGGTCCGTGGAACATTTTGTTTTCTTCGATAGTCTGCCAATTATGGAAAACAAGGAAAAGTGTTTCCATGGATCCCAAAATGATCCTTCACACAGCGGTCTCATGGAGTTGAGATTGATGCACAAGGACCTCTGATAGAATACACTTGAAAGTAAATTTCAGTAAACAAATTCATTATTATTTTTTCATTTCTTGCAGTGAAGGCTTAACGCCTATTTATATAGTTTGTTTACAGCCAATCACAACAGATTTGTAACAACCTCATAACAAACTCTTGACTTCCATACTCACACATACTCAACAACCTCACACCATGCATACAGCTCAGCTGCTAAACTAACTGATATCACTGCTAAACTGACTTCACTCACACTCAATCTCAATATGCTAATATTCTCCCGTCTTTCTTCTTCTCCTTTTCTAAACTCAGCATTGTTGGACATGGACCTTATCTCGAAAAACTTGAAACGACGCCTTAGCTAAAGGCTTGGTAAATCCATCAGCAAGTTGAAAATCAGCAGGTACATAACTCACCTTCAATTTGCCAGCAGCAACCTTCTCTCGAACAAAATGAATGTCAAGGTCAACATGTTTTGATTTCGCATGATACACTGGATTGGCAGTCATTGCCACTGCACTTGTGTTATCACTCCAAACAATAGGACTATCTAGTGAATGCAATCCTAGATCACTCAATAAGGCTTCAACCCAAGTTACTTCAGCAGTAGCTTCTGCAATACTTCGATATTCAGCCTCCATCGTTGAGCGTGACACCGATTTTTGCTTCTTAGATGCCCATGTAACCAAGTTGTTGCCAACAAACACTCCATAGCCAGTCATCGAGCGCCTATCTCCAATATCACCTGCCCAATCAGCATCAGAAAACGCTCTCACACACAACATAGTATGCTCAGACGAGAAAACTAAGCCATAATCCAATGTACCAGCTAGATAGCGTAGGATGCGCTTAACAGCAACCAAATGTTCTTCACAAGGTGCTTGCATGAACTGTGCCACCTTGTTGACAGCAAATACTATATCAGGCCTAGTATGGCACACATATAACAAAGCACCAACAATGCTTCGATAATCACGTGCATTGTCTAATAGAACACTTCCTTTCCCAGATTTTTTCATAGCAACTACCATAGGTGTGCAGGTTGAAGAGGCTTGAAGCATATCTGTTTTCTGTAACAAATCGAGTATGTATTTCTTTTGACTGAGGACTAAACCAGCATCATTCCTCTTAACCTCAATACCAAGAAAGAACGAAAGTGCTCCAAGGTCCTTTAGAGAGAACTTTTTGTGCAACATATTAATAACAGTATCAATATCAGCATTCGAACTACCAGTGATGATTATATCATCAACGTATACTAAAATATACGTGCACGAATCATTCACAACTCGCACAAATAGGGACGTATCAGCTCTTGACACCACAAAGTCCAACTCAAGTAGACTGTTCTTGAGTTTATCGTGCCAGTTTCGAGGAGCCTGGCGAAGTCCATATAAAGCTCTCTGCAACTTGCAAACTAAAGGAACTCCATTGGAGCCAAGCTGCTCAAAACCAGGCGGTTGTTGCATATAAACATCTTCAGCTAGATCTCCATTCAAAAACGCATTATTGACATCTATTTGTCGTAGAGACCACCCTTTAACCACTACTACTGCTAGCACCACATAAACAGTTGCAAACTTAACAACTGGGCTGAATGTGGCCACAAAATCATGGCCATGAACTTGCGAAAAACCCTTGGCAACTAGGCGAGCTTTATATCGATGAATAGAACCATCTGGGTTCCTTTTTAGTTTGAATAGCCATTTGCAGCCAACAACACTTCTATCATGAGGTATCTCAACTAAACTCCAAGTTCGGTTTTGGATTAAAGCCGAGTACTCCGCATTTACAGCAGCCGCCCACTTAGGTGACATTAATGCATCATGAATATTAGATGGAACATCGTCATCAAGAGCAATGGTGTATACCTTGGGTTTATAGATACCACATTTGCTGCGAGTCAGCATGGGATGATGATTACTATGAGGTGCAACAGTCTCATCATGATCCACAGCCTCAGATGATTCCTCAAGGTTATTCGAGGAAGCAGCAGAACCAGCAATTGAGCTCTCAGGCTCATGTACAGGAGTAGTCTGATTTCCTGGTACCCCTGCATTGTTAGCAAGTAACCGATTCATATCTACTACAACATCAAGGGGTTGATTGATTTGTGCAGAGGAGCTGCACGAACTGTGACCAGACTTAGTTGCAAACGGAAAATGCCATTCATAAAATTTTACATGTCTAGACACATACACTCGCCCATTCTTTCCGAGACACAAGAAACCTTTGTGCTGGGGACTAATGCCAAGAAATGTACACGGTTGGGAACGAAATTCCAGTTTATGGTGGTTAAATGGTCTAAGGTGTGGAAAACACCGACAACCAAAAACCTTCAGCAAGCTATAGTCAGGCTGCTTATGGAATAGTGACTCATATGGAGAGAGCCCATGCAGCACCTTTGTAGGCAACCTGTTGATGAGATGAACAGCCGTTGTTGCAGCATAGGTCCAAAACGTGATAGGCATAGAAGCCTGAGCAAACAAAACTAACGCAAGTTCAATGATGTGCCTGTGTTTTTGTTCAACAACTCCATTCTGCTCGGAGGTGTGTGGACAAGTTACACGGTGCACAACCCCAGTTGTTTGAAGAACACGAGAGAGGCTTCGAAACTCACCTCCCCAATCACTCTGCACAGCTAAAATCTTCAAGTTAAACTGCGTGATTACAAGCTGTTGAAACAATTGAAAAGCATGTACTGCTTGGGATTTATCACGCAATAGATAGAGCCAAGTATGTCGTGTACACGCATCGACAAAACTCACATAATACCTAAATCCGTTAGAAGCAACTGGTGAAGGTCCCCACAAATCAGTATAAACCAATTGAAATGGGATAGAATAAATCGAATCTGATGCATGAAAGGGGAGTTTGTGACTTTTGCCCATGTGACAAGCAACACAACATTAATTCACATTCTTTTGAACGAGTATATTTAAGGATTTGCAGACTTGCTCTAGGGTCCCATATGCAGGATGCCCTAGGCGCCTATGCCAAAGTTCATACAGCTTATTTGGAGACAATGCAAGATAAGTTTGTGCCTAACCACTACTCGTAGTATCCATATTCGACTGAAAGAAATACAAACCACCTCGTTCTTCACCACGCAACAAAATTTCTCCAGACCTCTCGTCTCGAACACAGCAACTTGAAGCTCGAAATTCAAAGTAAACATCGTTGTCTTTAGCAAGCTTTGACACCGAGAGCAGATTTTTCGTTATCGTAGGTACATGCAACAAGTCATTCAATAACAACACTCGAGAATTAGATGTTAAAATAGATCGACCAGAAGTATGAATAGATAAGGGCACACCATTGCCAACAAGCAATTTACCTGGACCTGTAAAATCACCTTTATGACCAATAGTTGAGGCATCAGGTGTGACATGGTGTGATGCGCCGGAATCAACCACCCATGAACCACTAGAGGTAGAAGCGCTATGAGCCTTAGCAAATCCTTTAGTACAGCAGGAACATGCTACATTCTCTACAGCTTCAAGACTAGAGTAATGAGCATTACCAGAATTATCTCTTGATGAAGAACGAGCAGAACCTTTACCAGAGAAATTCTGATCAAATCGATGCCAACAGTCAGCCACTAGATGACCATTTTTTCCACATAGCTGGCACTGAACCCGTGGTCTCCCACGACCGCGTCCACGAGTAGAATAACTAGACTCATTACGATAGGCAGATTGATTTGTAGAATTTGTGTTATTCGATTTGGAACAAGCGCTCAGATTAGCAACATGAGCACTCATTGGAAACTGATCATCTCGAATATCAAATCCAGCCATTTGAGTCTCAGCATTAATCAACAAAGAACATACCTTATCAAGCGAGAGAGAATCTTTCATTGTTGTAATAAAAGCAACATAAGGTTGATAATCCCTGGAGAGGCCTTTTAAGATGCTGGCTACTTGCTCGGCAGGAGAGATCGCACTATCACATGATGCCAATGCATCACAGACTTCCTTAATCCGAGTGAGATAGGTTCTCATGCTGTCATCTCCCTTTTTAAGAGATTGAAGCTTATAATGCAGACTAATGACTGCTGTTGTAGAACGACTCGCGAAGAACTGCTGCACTTTGTTCCAAACAGCCACTGCTGTCTCCGCACCAACAAATTGAGAAAGGAGATGAGAGCTAATGGTTGACAATAGCCACGACGCCAGTGCACTATCTTGTGCTACAAAATCGTCGTACACCTCGTTTGGTATAGATTCACCATTCGCACCTACTATAAATTCAGGCGGAGGCTGCAGCGAACCAGTTAATAACCGCTCGAGGCGATGGCTACGAACCGTTAGCAAAACTTGCTGCTTCCAGAGTAAGAAATTCGACTCATCAAGAACAACATTCACCTTCTTGTGAGTGAACGTTTTAGCAGACCCAGCATCCATGGCTACCAGCAGATGAAGCAGTGAAGCAAAAAACACCTCAGGAACAAAAAGCGACTGATACCATGATAGAATACACTTGAAAGTAAATTTCAGTAAACAAATTCATTATTATTTTTTCATTTCTTGCAGTGAAGGCTTAACGCCTATTTATATAGTTTGTTTACAGCCAATCACAACAGATTTGTAACAACCTCATAACAAACTCTTGACTTCCATACTCACACATACTCAACAACCTCACACCATGCATACAGCTCAGCTGCTAAACTAACTGATATCACTGCTAAACTGACTTCACTCACACTCAATCTCAATATGCTAATAACCTCAGGCTGCCAATGTTAACCAAAATATCTAACCGATGATGTGGTCTCCTTCGGATGAGAATAGTGTTTGCTTGAACACCGATGGAGCTTTATCCCAGTTAACCAAAACCGGCTCCGTTGGAGGCCTGCTTCGAAACTCCGCTGGCGTTTGTTTGGTGGCTTTTTTGTAAATACATTGGTCACATTTCAGTGCTTGAAGTTGAGCTGTGGGCCATTCTCGAGGCTCTCCAAGTACCTTGGCAACGTGATGCTAAACGTGTTCTTGTTCAGACGGACAGCAGCGACACTCACGATCTCCTTTCTCCTCCTTCTATTGGTAGCCCTTTTGCTTTGGTTCGATTAATAGAGACCCTCTATGACAAGCCTTGGTCAGTTGTTTTCATAAAGATCTACTGCGAAGCTAATTCAGCGGCAGATTACATTGCCAAAATGGACACCCCACAGGATGGTTCTGTTTTTATCTTTGATTTTTTTTCTGCCACCTTTACTTGCTATTTTTCATAGGGATATTCATGGCCCTCCTTTCCAAAGGATAAACAGATCTCTGCAATAGTGTTGCCTTCTCTTCCATTAAAAAAAACGATATGATTTTTTTTACTATTAACTTGTTAATATATTTAAATTTACAATAATATTTGGTAAATCATTTTAACTAATAATAAATTTACATTTCAATTGATTATTAAAATTCATATTTCTTGCTATTTTATAACCATTTAAGAAATTTAATGACTCTTTTGTAACATTTAAAAAGCCATTGACAAAAAAATCATTTTTATACCGTTCAATGGCATCTATTACATTTATCCTTAGGAAAAGAAGTTTATGCCATGAGTTAAACGTAACAACTATTCGTATTATCAATTTGGACCTACTAAAGATATTAAAATATATGAACCAAGTTGTTATATATGAATCTATCAAATGACATATGTGGTAAAAAAATGTTATTTTCCCTAAAGGTTTTGGGCTTAAATAAATGCGTTAAAAAATTATAAATAAATCTTAAAGGGGCTAAAATTATAATTATTTTGAAACATATTGTCAATACGGATATGGATATGAAGGTTGCTATATGAAAAATTATAAATAAATAAAAACAATTCTCTCCAAAAAATTTTAGTATAATAACGTTTTAGGTTTTTATTACTCTAAGCTTAAATAAAATTAGACTTTTACTCTTTTCAAATTTTAAATTAAATATTTAATAAATTAATATCATTTTAAACTTAAATAAATTATTCATTTTGATATTTAACTCTAATCCCATCCTTTGTATATATATATATATATATATAGAAAGTGGTAGACTATTTGATACCTAAACAAGTTAATTAACATAAAGTGGTAGACTAAATGCTGAATTCAACCCGACAAATTTGTTTGTTTCTATGCATCAAGTGGCAACTGAGAGCTGAAACTATTTCACGTGCATGCATGTGAGTATTCGATTACCCTTCTCATTACAACCTCTTTGCTAAACAATTAGACCAACAACCATTTATTTCTATAATTATTGCTGTCTGAAAATCTTTGTAAAACCCTGATTGGACAGAACAAACGAGAAATACCTGATATGATTTGTCGGTTATATGTTTTTGATTATTATCCAATTGTTGAACAACATTAGATTTTTCAGACAATGTTTCACAAGCATGTCCTCCCCCCCCCCCCAAAAAAAACACTTATGTTTCATCCTGGTTGAGTTAATTGATTTGATAGGGTTAGAGTTTGTGATTTGAATTATATTGGATTTGGTTCGAAAAGTTTATGGTATAATTTATTTGATGAATAAATAAAATAAAAAGAAAATAGAATTTGTAGTGGATGATGAGTCTCTCGGATGACGAGACTCTTGGATGAAGGGGGCAAAGTTAGGATTGAACAATAAGAGAGGTAAAATTATTTTACTTTGAAACGAACATGATTCTAGAAAGTAATTAAACCATTAAAAATAAGAGAATTATGACTTAATTTTAAATTTTTAATCATTCTTATTTTTTTTTACTTTATAATTATTTATTTATCATTGTTCGTAACAAACATGTCATTGTGTTGAACCTAAAGTTTTGAATTTGTCCCAGCCTGAATTGATGTATCAGACACAATGATTACATGTCGTCTGGTTTACTTAACTTCCTAAAAGTTTTGTTAAATGAATTTGGACAAATTATTCCTTAAAATAAAAAATCTATCCTTTGTTTTCTTAAAATTTTCATGCCGTTTTCGGACAATTTCCTAAAAGTTTACATTGAATCCCCGAACGACCACAACCTCGTCCACAAAATCTGCCACCAGAATCTTGCCGAGAGAACCTTCGATCTAGATGGTCATGGCGAGCATCATCAGGTCTGCTTGTCGACTTATCATGCACAAGATGAGCACTCATCGGTAACAACTCGTCTTGTTCATCAAACCCAACAAGTTGAGTTTCAGTATCTACTAACATAGAACAAATGTTTTCAAAGGGAACAAATTCTCGCATGGTGATTATAATGGTCATAAAAGGCAGATATTTCCTGGGCAAACCTTTCAAAATACTAGCAACATGCTCAACTTGTGAAATAGGACTACCACAATGTTGAAAATAAAAGTCTAAAAGGGTGGCAGCAGCATGCGGCTATAAAAAATTATTAAGCATGATTTTGTTGAATTTTTATATATGGGAAAATTTCTCTTTTAGTCCCTGGACTTTAGGATATTTATAAGATTAGTCCTTAAGCTTAAACTATAAATATCCTAACCCATTTAGCTTCAAACTCATCCCAAATCATTCTAGCTTTCTCCCAATACTAGATAATTTAGAAAGTTTTCTTGAGAGTTGTTTTCTCATTTTTATCAAGAGAGAATTATCATTGTTTTCTCCTTGTTAGATCGAGAGAAGCTGTAATTCTTATTTTCTCATAGTAAAATTCTTCTATCGTTTCCTGTGGTTTTTACCATATATTATTTATGGGGTTTTCACTTAAAATTTGTGTATTATTTATCTTTATTTTTATTTTCTCAATTTATCAATTGTGATTTTGCTCTATCCGATAGCCGTATTCCGTAACAATTGGTATCAAGAGCCAGATTTGAGTGTATAATATCTACTTATTGACTTTGTGGTTGCCACCAAAAGGTGGATCCACCAACATAAGAAAGTAAGAAGGTATTACTCATTCTTTGAAGGTTCTAGAGAACTATTCACGATAGTGAAATAGTGGAAGCTATCCGTAATAGAAGTTATGGCAATAAAATTTGATATTGAAAAGTTCAATGAGAGAAATTTCTCATTGTGGAAATTGAAGATGAAGGCTATCCTGTGGAAATACGGTTTTCTAACAGCTATCAATGAAAGGCCGATAGATTTCACAGATGACAACAAATGGATCGAAATGGATGGGAATGTTATGACAAACTTTCATCTAGCATTAGCAGATGAAGTATTGTCAAGCATCGAGGATAAGAAGACAACTAAGGAGATATGAGATCGTTTCACCAAATTGTACGAGGCCACATCATTGCACAATAAAATTTTCCTTAAGAGGAAATTGTACACTCTCCATATGCCATAATCTACTTCAGTGACGGAGCACTTAAACACGCTGAACACTTTATTTTCTCAACTTACATCCTTAAGATGTACAATAGGAGAACAAGAACGTGTTGAACTTCTACTTCAAAGTCTACCTGATTCGTATGATCAACTCATCATCAACTTGACAAACAATAATGTCACCAGTTTTCAACTTTCAAAAATTTCAAAGCGCGGTAGAACTTGATTCTGGAAATAAGATAAAGTGTTTCAGAACAGATAATGGAGGAGAATACACAAGTGAAGAATTTGATGACTTTTGCTGAAAAGAAGGCATCAAAAGACAGTTCTCAATGGTGAACACTCCTCAACAAAATGGAGTGGAAGAGCTGATGAACATAACCTTGTTAGAAAGAACAAGAGCAATGTTGAGGGATGCAGGCCTAGAAAAATCATTTTGGGCAGAAGCAGTCAATACCGCCTGTTATTTGGTGAATCGAGCTCCATCAATTGCAATAGAGATGAAGACACCAATAGAGATGTGGACTGGTAAACCAGCTAATTATTCAAACCTCTATGTATTTGGAAGTATTGTGTACGTGATGTACAACTCCCAAAAAATTTCAAAGTTGGATCCAAAATCTAGGAAATGAAAATTCTTGGGATATGCTGATGGTGTAAAGGGGTATCGCTTATGGGATCCCACTACCCGTAAAGTGATCATTAGCAGAGATGTTATCTTTGTAAAGATAAGCTACAAAGAAAAGAAGACGATGATAGCACTAAAAAGTCAGAGACTACACAGATACATGTGGAAAAGGAGGTTGAACAAGGAGATTCTTCTGAAGTAGAACCATCACATGATGAACAATAACCAGAGAGTTCTGAAGCTCCAACAACTCGTCAATCAGATCGTGTGAGAAGACGTCCCAATTGGCACCCAGATTATGTTATAGAAGAAAATATTGCATACTGTCTTTTAATAGATGACAGTGAGCCATCAACATTTCAGGAGGCAATAAACAGCTTTGATGCTTCACTATGGATGATGGCGATGCAAGAAGAAATTGAAGCCCTTCATAAAAAATAATACATAGGACCTTGTGCCACTACCACAAGGAAGGAATCCAATTGGTAACAAATGGGTCTTCAAAATCAAGCGAAATTGTGACGATCAAATGGATAGGTATCGTGCATGATTGGTGGTCAAAGGATATGCTCAAAAAGAAGGTATTGATTTTAATGAAATCTTTTCTCCTGTGGTTCGACTAACAACAATTCAAGTAGTCTTGGCAGTATGTGCTACATTGAACTTACATCTAGAGCAACTAGATGTTAAAACAACTTTTCTTTATGGAAATCTTGAAGAAGAGATTTATATCCTCCAGCCTGAAGGTTTTGAAGAATAAGAAAAGAAGAACTTGGTTTGTAGGTTGAACAAATCTTTGTACGGTCTAAAGCAGGCACCGAGGTATTGGTATAAGAAATTTGATTCCTTCATTATGTGCCTTGGATACAACAGACTTAATGCAGACCCTTGTGCTAATTTCAAGAGGTTTGGTGATAACGATTTTGTTATATTGCTGTTGTATGTGGATGACATATTGGTTGCAAGACCCAAAAAAGATCATATTGAAGAATTGAAGGCACAACTAGCTAGGGAATTTGAAATGAAAGACTTGGGATCATAAAACAAGATTCTAGGGATGCAAATTCACTGAGACAGAAATAATAGGAAGATTTGCCTTTCACAAAAGAATTACTTGAAGAAGAACTTGTCACGATTCAACATGCAAGATTGTAAGCCAATTTCTCCAGTATAAGTCCTAGCAGTGAAGAAGAGAGGACGGAGATGTCTCGAGTACCGTATGCATCAGCAGTGGGAAGTTTAATGTTCGCTATGATATGCACAAGACCAGACATTGCACAAGCAGTGAGAGGGTTAGTTGGTACATGGAGAATCCAGGCAAAGAGCATTGGAATACAG